CGATTTTATGTGGTTTTAAGAATGCGATAATGTTTTTATTTTTGAATTAAAATATAAATTTGAAGATAGTATAAAAATTTGTAAAAAAATAAATCGATAATAGTATCAAAGTAACTATTTAATAATTCTCATTTTTTTGGTGTAACTTCTTTAATTTAATTTTTCATTATAATTTAATTTAGGTTTAATAACAAAATAATTTATTTTTGATTTAATAATATAATTATTTGTAAAGATAATACTTAAACATTACGTTAGAACTCAATAATTATCTTAATTATATTTTAGATTTTCTATATTTAAAATGAATGTTTATCATGTATTTGATTATGTTTATCAGCAGTTAGTTACACGAATTTAAAATTTTAGCTTTAATAAGTTGTACTTACGTAAAATTACTTGTGAACTTAAATTTTAAGTAATATGCATCAATAAACAGTACTTCATTCGTAAAAAAATGGTTTTTAAGAGTTTTTATCAAATGCTTTATAATATAGTATAGAATAGTCAAGAACGTTGGAAGTAATTTGCTAGTAGTTAGTAGAGGTTCACATCAGTTATCATGTATATGTAAACATTTTAGTGCCAACTTATGTTAAGATGTTACAATTTTCTATAATGGTCCTACCATCTTCACTAAATATTGATTTATTACCTCATCATTCATACATACCTACACATCTACGAGATATCGTGTGAGAGTAACAGTTATGGAGAAAATGGTAAGAAAACTTTTAAACCTTTAGATGTGTTGACTTTTTAATCTAATTTAATTTTTTTAATTACTTTCAGTAAATTCAACTACATATATTTAATTACATTCCTCTACTTATATTTTCAAATTTATCTTATTTTAAGTTACTTTCACGATATTTACATATATTTAATCATTTTCACATGCATTAATTTGTTACAGTTTTGGTCATGCTATAAAAATAGGTAAACAAAAATAGTTGAATGTAAATCAAGGTATATGAATGTTTTGTTCTCACTTTCTCTTCAAAACTCTTATTCTTACCAGAACCAACTATATATATATATATATATATATATATATATATATATAGATAGATAGATAGATAGATAGATAGATAGATAGATAGATAGATAGATAGATAGATAGATAGATAGAGAGAGAGAGAGAGAGGGAGTTTGTTTCAAATACAACTCATCGCATTTGTACAACCAATGCAACCCAATATATTGAGATATTTATGAAAATGATAAKAGTTCATTTATTATGATTTGAATATTTATGGAAAATGAATATGGTTCATTAATTATGATCGATACTTTATATTATGAAACAATAAAAAATTCTATAAAATCACATATTCATCAAATAAAATGGATGGTTGAGATTGGGTTGTATTGGTTGCACAAATGTCAAGGTTGTATAATAATCAACCTCTATATACATATATATATATATAGGGGCCGGTTCAAATAGAAACCAACCATATGGTACAAACTATGTGAACC